AATTACTATTGTGCAAAGTACTTGCATAAATTTGAATAAAAAGTGACCTTCGGTGGAAAAAAGCAAATTTCTGTCCCGTATGCACCAAAATCGATTTTCTAATATTAGGATCTCGACTTCTTTTTACGTCGACTCTTAACCCAATTTTGTAATCTTATAAATACCGTCGTGAGAACACCGAAAAATAATTGAATCGACGATGAAGATTCTCTCTCGAAAACTAGTTTTATGGAAATAATTCGATTCCGTGCGTCAGCTTTCTAATTTCGAGGAACGCAACCCGTCTTACCGATAACGCCTTTTCCAGGACAATTTCCTGCTTTCAACAATTATCATTTAAATAATTGCAAACATGCAACTCGGTGAACGTAATCGCGATTTTTTTCTTTTGTATAATTTTCAATGACACTGGAAGAGGAATGTTGACATTTGCACTTTCTCGACGAATTCATCAATTCGACAATTTTTCCTCTTCGCAGTTCGCACACACGCCTTAAAATCATTACTTTCCATTCTTAGCGCGCGTGAGTGGTCTTCAGCCCACCGCAGGTTTTACGAAACACAACCACAGATGGAATGCGAAGATGTGTGAAGATTTATCACACAATCGAATTGTGGCCATTGTTCCCCGAACGAATATAAGACAGACCGGAATTAGTAGAGCGTGTGCAACGGACCTGTTGTGCCCTCGTGTAATGTTAGAACTGCATAGCTGCGGGACATTTTCACTCTTCGAAAGGTCACTCGCGTGGATTTAACATTTCACGTTTCTTACAATTTCTCTCAAACGTCTTCGGATTCCTTCAAAGGTCCTGCGTCACTCTACAATCTTCAGATTGCAAAATGTTTTATTTGTGTTTAACACACATTCTGTATTTTTTCTACTACTGCGTAATTACTTTGTCACACATTTGCATGTCAGGTCGAGTAATGCTAATGCAACTGTACAATACAAAGTCGAATATAAACGTCATTCATTAATTACTTTAAAAAAAGTTCAGTTTTTTTTCAATTTGGATTATTTCCAAAACTTCTGTCGGAAGTACTCAAGTTTAAAAATTTTTGCCCTCTTTTCGTTATTTTTAAATAACTTGCAAGCGATACAAACACCCGCATTACAACTAACTGTATTTAAATCTAACAGTTTATACAAGAATTATTCTAACGTTAAAAATAATCACTTTCGATTTGCCATTTACTCTTATTACTGTGGTATGCATAATGATATTGTTATTATACACTTGAACGACCAACAATTCGCCGACATTTATCAATTTTTAACGAAAAATTTGAATTCTGTAAATGATTTAATGGTTTTAACGGACCATGTCTAGACGTTAATAAAAAAAAATTGTCCTAGTCTAGATTGGAATAGGTCAGTCTTGATTAGTGCTAATAAGTCAATTTTTTAGATTTTTGAAAAAATCCGTTCAAGACTGGCATATTAGAAATGAGTGAAATAGAGTGGAAAACCACAAAGAAAGAGCTTACGAAATAGCTGCAATTTATTAAATGAAAAACAAGTGCATTTGGGGAAAAAACATTTTGCCATTTTATTTTTTTTACTTGCTAATCAACAATCTAATAAATACAGTGATTCTGGAATTATAAACTTGTTTCTAAGCATCCAAAAGTGGGCATGAATTGGCTTTTATAGTTCTTGGGCTTTTTTTTATAACATATGGAATCATATTAGGCATCCTTAACAACGGCAAAATAAGCGACTATATTTTATCTCGATTTTTACACGTAAATATTAAATTTTTATTTAAGGAAAGCAAAATAAAATAAAACGTTTCATGTACCACGGACATAATTGTCGATTATCGCCCTCAAGAAATTAAAAACCCTCCTAACGTCGGGCTTTAAACATTCCCTCGGGACATAATCTCTTATTATGCCCTTAATACAACTATTACGTAAGTTTACTGTCACAACAAGTCACGACAACAATGATTTGCACTCTGAATTTGGTAATTAAGTGTTTACGGTTGCACTAATAATAATTAAAGGTATTTATTGATCAAAAATAAAAAAATTACTAATGCATTTGGATCCACTATGTATACTCCTTCTACCTTTCTTCAAACCATAGTTTATTAGAAATAATTTATTATTTAATCAACATTCTGTTTTACATCAAGGATGGTTATTTTTGTTGCGAAATTTAACAATTACTAAAATGATAAAAAGCACTATATTGTACAAGGAATGTCCTTTTGGTGCAAACATAACATGTTCAATTCAATTTTCAGTTAAAGTGGCATATGACATTGAACATAAGTTGGCTACATTGAATAATCTGAATTTTCAATTGTCAATTTGTCATAGCTTCTGTCTCCACATTACTCAATTTTGCCAACTGAAATTCAAAATCATGGACCACTTTGATCAGAAATTTAAGTCAACACATGATATTTATTTATTTAAGTATGATTTGAATAAAAATTTTATAAAAATAATTTCTAGTTTAAATAAAAATAAACAGAGTGATGACATTGACTTTTAAAGAAGATTTTGAAAAGCTTCAAATTTTACACTACGTACTAGATTTTTGAAATCCAAAATTCGAGTACAACTGGATAGAACTTTATACTCTAATTACCACAACCATAAAATGAAACCATTTGCTGACCACTGTAATATTTGAAGTAACACATTATACAACAATAAATTATTTTGCTTTAATAATTTTTAACCTGTTCCAAATTTTATTATACTCGGAAAATCTCTGTTTGTTTTTATGCGTCAGGTGTTGTGATGTAATATCTTTAAAAATTACACAAAAGTATGTAAAAATAATAGGTAATAACTTATTAACGTGGAATTGAACAAAAGTTATCAACTTAGAAAATTATTTTAGTAAAACTGCATTGTTTGTCACTGATGTTGGCACATGTCCCAACTCACTTTTAACAATTTTATAAATTAGGCTCCTTCAATCGAATTCTTTACTGGATTTAGATCAAAATAAGACGAAAAGAATTAGTAAATTTCCATATCAAAAGAGGAAAACAAAGATTAAATAAAACACGTTTGTTTACATGACTAATCACTTAAAATTCGTTTCTAATTTTGAAACAAATTAGATACTCGAGACTTCACCTCGAATTCGATAGTTTTAAAAATACATTCTATTTCATTTGTCAAATTTATTGTCAAAATTGATAATCATGGAAACCAATTACATTAGTTACATTGTCAAAATTGGTAACCAATGTAATTGGTTTCCATGGTTACCAATTTTGACAATAAGTAATGATCCAATAATTATGGGATCATAGCACCCATAGGAATTTTGACGGAAAAGAATGCGAAAAGGGGGTTTTTGGGGCGAAGGCGCTGGTCCCGATTACACAACGTGCTTCAACACCGCATTGTACTTAACTTTGAAATGTTATCTTTTAGTTTGCGGTGTGTCAGAAAATTCCTGTGTGGCTGGTAGCAAGTGCCAAGACGTGCTATTCTAAGGCCTGGCTATTTTATTTGGATTGCTCGGTCAACTATTGCTGAAGTTACGCGAATCTCAAATAAAAATAGATGGCTCGAATTGACTTAAAATCGTATTTTCATTGAGTAAATGCCGTAAAAAGCGGCCCCTGAAAGGTCTGGCCCACTTTGCGGGAAAGTAGGATATAAACATGGAAAAAAATGGTCGCTGAGCCCGCGGCGAATTTTACGAATAAATTCACGAAGATGCGCTACTTTTTCGGTGGGAATTCGCACGAAATGCGCTTATTTGGGGACCGAAACGGCCGTGGGCGCGCGGTTGGGAATATTTTCGACCGATTTTCCGAAATTTACAAGTTGTATATCTCGGTGCCACGGGATTATTTATTTCGTGTTTGCACACGTAACTTCAAGGTAATTTTAATTAAACAACACCTCAACAAGTGGCCGATACTCCCACTGGATTTCGGGGCAAAGGACATAACCTAACTGGGAAAAAAGTCACTGACCTTCTCCTTGGCTCTTCCTGCATGTTTCTGCACGGACTTGGCCAATAAAGAGCCTCGACTTTCTGCCATTTCTTTGAATTTTGAAAATGGTCCGCCCAGAATTTGCACTCTTTCACTCACACTTTTTACTTTTTTCTTGTTTTGTCCCTTGTGATGTAAGCACAACGACTACCGCGACTGTCTCATCCACTGTATTACTTTTAGCTCTAGCTTTAGCCGCATATTATTTTAGTACATTTCAGGATGAAATAAACGTCTGGGAACTTGTGTAGGTAAAACAGGTTGAAGTCGAAGTGACTGAAGCGGGCGGCGGTAGGGGGCGCAGACGTACTCGATGCCGAAGAACTAACACCCATATACACAGTGGACCAAAAAACACACCAAACATTCACTCCCCACCACTCAACTTTCAAATAAAAACGCCTCAACCAACTGCTTGACTGAAACAGGAAACCAATTTGTGTGACAGGTCAAGGTCATGACCTACAGAAGAATTAAATCAACAGTAGATATGTCCAATCAATAGGATTCCACTTCAGGTTGCAATACAATCAACATTCCATTCGTGATATTCCACATTCTTAACAAAACTCGATCGACTATATTATTTTTTGGCCAGTTATGGAAACAATTAAGACCTGTGACAAATTAGTTATTATTATTCATAGCTGTTTTATTTTTCTTTTAACTAAACATGACCTTGAGTTGGTTTATTGTTTGGTATTCCACAGCTCATGTCTTTGGTCTACTTTTGGGACCAAAATGGCGCCTCTTTTTCTAAAATTGTTGTAGAAGCGATGGGTGTGGCAAACTGCGTCAATCCACCTACTTTTTTAATTAAAATCGACAAATTAAGTAACAAGGAAGTTAGTTTTAGTGCGATTTGTTTGACTATTATTCTTTACGCGGACTATTCCAATAAATTTTGAAGTAACAAGGTCGGAAGTGTGGCAATCGTCAGGCTGAATTTATTGGATAAATAAACGTAACAATAATTTCCGATTTTTTTCTTATGTTTGATGAGTGTGAGGTAAAAAAAGGTTTATACTAAACTGTGTATTTAACTGAAATTACAAGAGATTATCCATTACACAAGATATAGCATATTCCACTAATCATTGAAAGATCTATATTTTAAAATCTGAGAATAGATTTAATAAGTAACAACAAAATACCAATAATTAAGGAATTGTTGAGCATTTTATCTGTGATGTTACAATACATATAAAAAATTGTATTTTAATTCCACTAGTCTTTATGCAAAGAAATGGTTCTAAAATGTCTGAAAAAACAATATTACGAGTGAAAAAAATATTTTTCTCTTGTTTTAATGCTTAAGAAATTCCCCAATTAGAAATATAGTTTTGATATCCATATCTATATATAAGTTAAATTTGATACAGAAGGCTTCATAACAGACAATATTAAAAAATCTTTTTTGCAGATTAATACTAAAATGTATAAAATGTTTAAAAATTTTGTACTGTATATATTTTATTTTCGTTTTTCTGTCTATTATGACTCCTAGCTGTAATACCATTAACAAAAAGACGTCAACATAGCCTTAACATTAACAATAAACTTCACTCAAGTGTTATTATTTTGCAAAGTGCATTAAATTATGAAATTCTTATCAAATGAAGTTTATTGACCTACCATGTTTAAAAAAATAACAAAAAGTAAAAAACCAATAACTTAGCTATGCAAACGTACTAAACTACTAATACATATAATCTATATTGGAACAAGTGTTCCTGTACAAAATATATTCCATCATTGACTTACATTAACAACAACTGGCTGCTACAAGGAAATACTTTACAACTATAATAAAACTACCACTGAATTTTTTCCCAAATTTAGAATATCAATTTAGCATATTATAGTATCAGTAATCTGATTTTTGTAAAGTATGATACCACAGCCAGGGGTGACGTCTCTTCTCACAAAATGGAGACACAATCATTGGTCAATAGTTCATATCACTACAGTATAACACATTTTAATTGCCCTCACCGTCTTCGTGTTTTCTCTTTTTACCCCTTGAAACTTTAAAAAACACGTTAAACAAAATCCAAACAACAACAAATAGTTACCATCAGGTGATTGTGCATCTTCCTCCACAGTCTCCTCTTCTTCCTCCTCCTCAATACCATCTTCATCCTCTTCCTCCTCACCAGCCTCATAATCACCCTCGTCTGACAGTTCATCCAGGTTTTCCGAATACACAGCGCCCAAACCCACGCTCTCATCCAAATCTTCATCTTCTTCAGATGTTCCCTCTTCTTCAGAGTCGTCGTCGTTGCCGTTCACCTCCTCTTCGCCGTCGGTGTCTTCGGCCTCGCGCTCTTCTGCATCAAATCTAAACACAACGAACATTACAAACGACAATTTATTACAATTGCTCTTTACTTCGTTCTTAAAAACCCAATTTATTGTGATAAGAAAAATTTGGAGAATGATGCAATGAAATGCAGAAATTTCTTTATTAGACTTGTGAGACCAAAATGGCCGTTTCAATTTTTAATTCAAGTAGAAAAATGAGTGTAAGAGATGGATGACTTACCCGTCGAGATATTTAAGGCTTGGAATCATTTTGAAAATTTTCTCCCTGTAGTTTTCTACAGCTGTAGCTTCATTGTTGAAGAGATCAAGATTTTTGAGATGTTTGAAATTCTTTAATGGTTCAAGCGTCGCTAAATCTTTGATTCTGTTGCCACTTAAATTGAGATGTGTTAATTTCGGACTTGTTTCCAATAAATTGAGTCCATTGTTTATCCTAGAAAGGCCCCCATTGATTTCTGGTCCTAAGTTTTATCAATACAAATACCTGTTGTCACTTAGTTCTAGTTTTTTAAGATTTGGAAGTTTTGGGAATCCTTTGAGGGAAGTGAGCCCCACATTGATAAGTGACAAGGTTTCCAAGTTGCAAAACTTGTCTGTAAGTCCTATGATGCTGGTACTCCGGCAGTTATCAAGATTAAGTTCTTTAATCTGCGAAAAAAGCATTCAGTTCCGAAACAGCCATATTGGGTCGTAGCGAGGGCCCCAAAAGAAGGCTTCACAGCCCTCGCCAAGCACATGTGTGGTACGCCTCATCGCCACCTCGCAAGCACTTACCTCGTCCGGATTTCTCCCCCGTTTTTCGAGTTCTATGCGTTTTTCCATCGCGAAACTTTTATCCACTGGACAAAGCGAGCAAAATCCGCCGACGCCGCACTAATCTCATACAAGGCAACCTTTAAATCGTGAAAAATCACCACTTTCAAACCGCGAACGCGAAGACAGTGGACAAGAACTCATCGATTAGCCGCCACAGCGTTCATGGCATCGCAATGCTCCGCTAGAGGGGTACCTACAATAACACAATGGATGCGCTGGCGGGAGATTTGCCGGCCAATGGGAGGCTTGGGATTTGTGAGGTTAGGAATGACAGAAGCCACATTTTTGGCTCTGTGGGGGTTATAGGAGTCACCGGGGGCGGATTGTAGCACGTGGGGATGATTTAGGGAGAGTTGTAATGTGATCTGGGGAAGGAAAAATGGACTAGGGGGTTTTTAAGCGAAAGACGCTAAGGATCTTGGAAAAACAGATGCGAGGGGGGTTGGCGCGCAAATTTTTGAATTGGGGGTCGTTGGGGCAGGATTCAGTCAATAAATGCACTTCTGAACCAAAAATGAATTTAAATTCGGTTTTCAGTACTAATAAAGGGTCAAGCACGCGAAACTTTTCGTCACTTTTTAAGAATAAACAAAAAATAATTTCTTTTTAATGAATTCTTCATTTACTTAATAATTTCTAAGGAATCCTTAAAAAAATTGCCGTTACGACTTTTGGCCAACAAAAATACTTTATACAACAGGTCCCATCAAAAGCTTTGTTTTTTTTTTCTAAAAAATAATTTTACTTAATATTCACATGGGAAAGGGGTAAACAAATCTCTAGTCATTTCAACAGATTTTTTGGAGAATAAAAGAAATATTGACAATATTTGGAAATTTTCTTTTCTGATCACAAATTCAAAGTTGTTCATGGCTGTCATTTTTATTATATCGACAATTACCCAAGAAATATATAGTTAAAACCCTTAGTAAATTCCTGAAAAATTAAATAAATATCAAGTTTTTTTTTTTCAAAGAAAATATGTATCAGAGTTTTAGAAGTACAAGTTATAGAACATTAAAACGTTTATTAAAACACTCATTTTCTTTTACTTACAAAATTCTAGACACTAGTCATATAAGCTAAAAGATATTTTTACCTATACTGACTGATAGTTAACTAGATTTTTAATTTAATTGCGATTTAGAACGGAAAGAAATAGTCAAAATAGTTAAAAATTCCTGAAAAAAAACAAATTCCAGTTTTTTTTTCAAAAAAATCTGTAGCACTGGTAAAGGTACAAGTTCTAGAAGTTCAAATAAATAAAAATTCCAACGTTTATTAAAACATTTATTTTCTTTTATGTATTTACAAAATTCTCGACACTGTGCGCATGTAAGTTAAAAAGAGATTTCTTGCCTGTATTGGTTGATAATGAAGTAGCTTTGTAATCTAATTTCATTTTGAAACAACGGAAAGAAAAAAACAGTTTGCAAATACTTTCTTACCTCCCTCTTTAGTTCCCTGGATATTTCGTAGTAGGTACTTGGAAGACGAAAGTGTGAAAAATTCCGTTGATGAAAATGTTTTAGGAATCTCAACTTTGTGTTATGATTTCTTTATACTTGACGGAACGTGAACGTTATTACAATTAAAATCCAAAATGTGTTTAAAATATCGTTTCAATGGTTCATTTCCATTTTCTTCTTCAGACATGTTTTATCTGAAGAAAATGGAAATAAACCATTGAAACGTATTTTCAACACATTTTGGAGTTTAATTGTATTAACCTTCACATCCTTTCTAAGTGAAAAATTTATAATTTTTTTCTTTAATGAAACCATTATTTCAAAACTACAACACTCGCCTTACTTTGATGATTTTGAAGATATTTTGTAATCCATTTTTACAAAAAAAAAAGACAAAAAACTGTTTTGAGTTCTCGTAAATTGATTAAAAAAATTCTGATACAAGTCGTTTTAATTAAACCAAAAGAAAAAGAGTGGGTATAGAGTGAAATAAGGTGTAAACTGTTGTTTTTATCATGAAAATGCATTTTATTAAATATGTGCTATGATTTAAAGTAAAATGGAAACAATGATCAATGATTAATGTAATCCTATCAGTGAAATACACATGTGAACCGCCATGTCAGCACCTCATGTACTGGAAATAAGTACAGAGTGACAAACAAATCAGTACAAAGGGGCGTTCAGAAAGAAAGTAGTTTTTTCGTAATAATAATGATGAGGTAACACTTGTCTTGTACTTAGGTTTCAAAAAACTATCTAGCCATTATTATTCATTGGTTCCGGAAGAAAGCTAAGTGCTAGTTCAAACGTAAACGAAGTCGTTAATACAAATAACAAATTTAACAATACACAATGAAGCGAGAAATCATGGGCTTATCACAGAACATGTATGGCATGTTTTATTATTATCAATACCGAAGGGTGAAACTGCCATACGGCAGGGACAGGAAGCAGAAGCGCAATACTGTACAGTCCGTTAAAAGTAAGCCATTAAACAACCTTCTTTGACACTGTTTTACTAAATTGACGAAACGACAACTGTATCTATAAATTTCTTGCAATTTTTCTTTTTAGCTATGACATTTTTAAAGCACTACTATTTACACGAATTAATTTGTTTACAATTTGTCCACATCGAATTAATAAAAGAGCTGTCACTGATTTCACCAATTTCAATGTCATAACTATAATACATATCACTACCAATATATTACAAAATCACTTGTTTGAAATAATTCTTATCCGACCGTGTAAAACAATGAAGATATGTAGTACCGACACAAGTGACAATTGAAAATATCGACAAACTCTGCTCTCTTAACTTATCCGGAGAGATCAATCAATACAACACTAACTTAAAATAAAAAAAGAGGTTGAGAAGTCCCCCGATAGGAACAAGCTGTGGTCATTTTATATCACAATTCCGTTTGTTTAATCGGCCAAGTGAGCACCTTCCGATTTAACTTAATAAATATCAGATCGAATTCCGGAACAACTCACTTAAACCGCAAAACAAAACTTTAAAACTTAAAGTTACACAGGATTTTTGATGATTTTTTAACAAAACGTTAGCCATATACTAAAAGCACTCATAGAGTGTCTTAATTGTGAACACATCGATAGCAGTCTGTGGCACTATCACGAGCTTCAGCTCTGTTTCACCCTTTTTCGTGGTGGACCTATGGGGGGGATCTGCTGGGTCGCCAACGCACGGAACGCCTCTGCGATCAGATGAGGATGCGTTTGGATCATACTTTTCCAACCGGGTGTGTCCATCACGTCCGTCGCGTGCCTTAAAACGTGACAATCAATTTTCGATCGACCATGAAATTTTCAACAACTTACGTATTTATAAAATCTATTGCTTGTGCTTTCAACTGGTCGGCGCTGTGCAGGTCTGCCAATATTAAAATTTCGGCAGCATTGTCTATTGATAAGTTCGTACACAACGCCTCTTCACACATCACTTTGAGTCGTTCCAACGCATACTAAACAAATAAAAGATTAATTTCAACCACAAGCAAAAATTTTGAACAACCTTATCGGCGGCGGCTAACAAATCGTCCGCCATCTTCTCCAAATTCGACGCTTTTCCTGTATAGATAAATCTAAGCATTTCTCGTAATACTTCATGGTCTACGTCCGTTATATCTACTCTATTATGTTTTCTCTCTTCCATTTCATGTTCGAACATGGCCTGGAATACGGGACTCCTCGCTAAAATTCACACAAATCATTTCTCTACATCCCATAACCCCACAAAATATTCACCTGCTAATATAGCCTTATGTGCTTGGAATTCCCTACCGCCTACCGAAAGAGTAACATCGCTAAATTTTTGATTTTCAAAAAGTAAACCTAAATCGTCCGATAACCTACATTCTGGCACTTTAAATTGAATTGTATTCGACTGGCCAGAAATATTTACACTATCAGCGACAACACTGACCTACAATTCCAAATTTTGAATAAACAAAATGCGCAAATTTCCATCGACTCACTTCGCAAAATATCGTAAGTTTATCGTCGGGTAACAGACCGTTGGCTTCGTCCAACAAAAAATCTCTTCTAATGAACTTCTTGAAGCCCCAATCTTTCCCCTGTACGAATCTGTACGCCCTTTGACTCTCCATCGCTTTCGTTTCTTCTCTTTTCGCATTTAATATACTAAATTTAAATTTGGCTCGAACTTCGCTTTTATTGCACGACACAAGAAGGAGGTACAGTGAAAGATAGTCCTTGCTTTCCTCATCCAAACCTTTAGGATTCACCCTTAGACACCTACAATATTTCCTTTAATTTTACCAACACATCAAACAAACTTACGCACCATTTTAATTTATCGTTAGCCCCTGCCGAAAACGTCGAAGATTTTAAAACTTCGCCCATTTCTTCGCGACAGAAACTAAAATTATTTATTGTCCACATGTAGCTGAACTTTACGACTTTCACCTGAAACAAGTAAAAAATCACAAAATTAAATTATGAACCACAAATAATACACAAAAAACCTTCTTTTGGCGTACAAAAGTCGAATAAAATAACATGAATTTTTGAAATTGATACATCGCGTTGGTAAAATGACAGAAAAAGAAAATTTTGACATTTCACACACCTACTTGATTCTTTCAAAAACTAACCTTTTTGCGACGTAATTTTATGACAAACGATTTTTCGCAAGTTTTTAAGACTTCCATTAGTCGATTTAAAATCTGTATCGCAAATTTTAAATTAAAAAAAAAAACACACACAAAAGCGCAACAGCACAAAATTGCGTGCGTCACAATTTGACGTTTCACTTGTTTTTCAAAATGTCTTTAAAAATCAAACTAAAAAACTCTAGAAAGCCCACCAAAAATAACAATTTTTTGGAGAAAAAAATTAATTATAAACAAAACATTAAATAAACTTTTAATAATGATATTAAATTTATGTTTTTTGAATAACCATGTAATTTTTCATTTTTAAGTGTTGACAAATCTAGAAAAACCAAAGTAAAGAGAACCTTTTTCTATCTTCTTTTTCTATCTTGGCTTTTTTTGAATAAAAGTTGAGTTGTGAAATACACTAATTGATGTTTTGTTATAAATTAGTCAAAAAATGGAGCAAGATAAATGGAGATTTAAGGAAAATTAATGATTGGTTGTGTACACGTAAACTTTGTTTTCTGTTATACAAAATAATGAATTTATGGTAATTAAACTCAGAAACTCGGATTTTGATTAACTTCCATGGAAAATGGTTGAGTGATGTGAAGTGGATGAAAGAAAACTTCCATTACAAACGCTTGAATGTTTCCTCAGATGAGAACAACATCATCGCTTCTAAAATTACTCTACTGATAAAGACGACAAATTTGAGTTCTATTTTTAAAAACGAAAAATAATGTAAAACAATTCGCTGATGACTTCCTTCGATATTTGTCATGAATGGGTGAACAATAGACCGGCAGAAAACCTTGCAACATTTAAAAATAATGCGATGGCTCTATGTGTGTTCGGATTTTCGACCCTGAACAAGGGCATTCACGCCGTCGACGTTGTTCTTGAGCGAAGAAATCCTTCAGCTTATGAATTTTTTCACCTCTCTCTCTCTCTTGTAATTTTCGGACCGTTTTTCGAAATTTTATTGTTATGGTCAAATGAAACTAACTGTGAATTCGTGGTGCTCGGTCACACAGGCCAGAGTTATAATTTCCAAGTCAAGAGCCGTTGGCCTCAACCAAGGTCAGCACCAGAAAGAACATTGCCGTTTGGTTGAGCAGTTTACCTCTGGTGTGGTGCATATAGGTAGAAAATAATCTAAAGGAACGGGTTGCTCGACGGCGGATTGACTTACCTGCGTGTAACACCAGTTCTCGGCCACTGGGGTGTTTACCTCCTGGGGTGGTGGACTCGGCACGCGGCTAACAGCCATGGTACTCGTGGGATGCAGGTTGGAGCTGACTCGGGCCGTTTGGCCGGCCGAGCAATCACTCACCACCGGCAGCCTGCAACGAAACACCACTTTTAATACAAAACTCAAATTTTCCATTACCATTTTTTACAAAAAAAAAAATATTGTTAACTGCTTTCAAAAATACCTAAAATAATGTCTTGAATTTAGAGTTTAACTATTACAAAAATTAATACAAAATTTAACTTGCTGATCAAACAAAAACAATCCCAATTTTTCGTTTTTTTGTTGATTAATAAAATTGGTTTCTCTTACCTAAATTAAATTAAGACATGAATAGATCTTTTTACTTCTATTTTGTGTTTTATTGATTAAATTTGTAATAATTTTGTTTATAATAATAGAGATTCGCCAAGGAAACCTTCCCCGAGACACGCTGTATTCTCGTAACAATAAAATATTTAAACTAAGAACAGGACCTGAAGTTTGTTTTTATTCCGGATCGTGTATGAAATACACTGCTCAACAGGAAAAATGTGTTCGAATTACAAGTGCTTTTATGATTTCTGGTCGTCAAAAGCGGTGAAAGCAAAACAAAAGTGTGTATAAATAAATAAGCGAGATTCTTTACCACAAAGGTTTAGCAGGAAAGTCAATTCCGATAAGATAACCGATTCCGAAGAAACGTGACTTTTGACATTGACAGCATTCGTAAACAGCCATATTTATCATTGGAGGGTGCAGAGACACAACGGTCAACATTCACCACACATGTCACCTTTCTCGAACGCAAGTAAACCTTCACGTCCGAACTAAAAGAACTCCTCTCGCAGAGTACCTCGTCGAGGATCTCAGGTAGTTCCTTGAGATTTTAAGGTCGATTCGGGTCCTTTTCTCGGCAGGTAGACGACGAACATGATGGCCAACGCCCGCAAAAATCATTGTCTCTATTCAATAATGACGAATTTTACTACGAATAGCGGTACTCGACGTTCCATTCACGTCGATAAATAGCTAATTGTCAACCTGAGCGTGTTTATGACGAAAAATCTGCACGGCAAGGTCAAACACCCCGCCGTGGATTCGATGATAAACCAGACAGTTAGCTTGAGGATGATGACTGTTTATTGAAGGTCAGACTTAGTACAACGCTCCTGTGCTCAAGAGGTTTGGGTCAACGGCCGTTTCCGACGTTCGCGAGGGATGGACCCTCGTTGGGGAGAACGCCCGGAGAAACGAGGGAGAAATTTCGAATATTCAGGGTCTTATGTATGCGTGCTGTTGCTGGTGGAGTAGGAGGAGATATGTGCACTTTGTTAGCAAAGATGTGTGTGTTTCTATTCCCACATCGTTATCGCATTCAAGAAGTGTTTGCTGCGAAAATGCTACTTGACACTCAAATCAAAGTTGACAAGATAACGAAATTTAGCTTCTCAACCAATTTTTGATATTACGGGCTACAAGCGAATAAAATAACCCAAAGGTATTAAAGATAAATACTCCATCCCTTCTTATTTATGTTACTGAACAAACAAATGTTTTTCTATAATAGACCACAAGACAAAATCCCAATATTTCTGTATTACACAGGAATATAGCAAATAAAAAAGTAAAAACCTACCTACACACAGCAGAAAATATTTTTGTGCTTCACTTCCTTTTACTGCAACATTATTACGTCTTGTAATCTCTGTTTCTTAATCATTGAATTGCTGTTTATATTTTATCCTTACTGTTGTATTGTGAATCTAAATAAAAACGTGGTCAAAAGCATTATGAAAATTTCATGTATTGAATTTCATGAATTGCCCAGATTGTTACTTTAGTGAAATGACAAAATATTTAAAATACAATAGGAGGTAAGGGTAGGTACAGCATTGTATTTTTTTATAGTGATGTTTCCGAGAATGTTCTCAATCTTGACTTCGAGTTTGTTAAAAAAAAGGTTTGTGGTATTTTTGCCTGAGCAAAGACTAGACTCAAATTTTATTTCTCAAAAGTCGATTTCGACCCCACATCTACTATTTACAAGTAATCACTTTTCTGACCACAATAAATTTTATAATTAATATAAAGAAACACTATACATCTTGTATCAAAAATAATTATTATCTGATAAAAAAAATAATTGCACCATCAAAAACATAATAATAAACTCAAAACAATAATTGTTTCATAAAAAAAAATCATGATCTATAACTTGATAAACAAAAAACATACCTACTTTTTTTGTCTTACGTCTGTGTCTACTGTCTACGTAACTTTATGTATTTACGTAAATATGCATGAAAAATATTTTATCCACAATCACTCTATAAAGAGACTTTATCCACAATCACTCCATAAAGAGACTTTATTCCACACTTTAGATGCGTATAAAGTATCACTTTATCCACTAGTGGAATAAAGTAACTTTATTCCACTGTTAGTAACCAACGCACCGCGTAACAGCTTACTACGTTTAACCGAAAGCACATTTGGCGTGACGTTTAAACGTTAGTTTACTTTTTAATTAAGTTTGGAATAATTTAGGCCTGTGATTGTGGATAAAACGTTATATTGCAGTCGTGTGTTAGTCGCGTTTTATCCACTTAAGGAGATTAACCGCTCGAACTGACGTTCTGGCGGTTAAACATTCTTGCGTGGATAAAACGCCACCTCACACAATTTTACAATAAATAACTATAAAATTAATTAAAAAATCGTGGCACCAAAAATTTTAGAACATTGTGAGAATCAGTAAAAAAAGACTTCGAAGCTTTTTATTACGTAGTCTCTTATCAAAAATATTTTGAATCATACGGTATTTATTTAGTTGTTTCAGCGATTGATATCAATACACAATACGCAAAAACACATACTTCGTTCTTTATTACTCAGTATTTTCGTTGTTTGAATAAATTTATTTATTTGCTTTAAACTCTTCCATTTTTGGTTTACAGATATTTGAAAGTTAAATACCTACAGAATATTTTTTTTTGTCTTCCTCTTTTGTCATCATCTTTCGAAGATGTCATCATTTCGTCGTCCGTAATCCACGGATCGATTATTATTCAATGCAATGGGTCGTTGTGTAATTATTTTAAGGCAACAGTATCGGCTCTGGTGAAATGTTTCCTAGTTTCACCCGGCCGAGAGAGCGAAAGGACCCGCGCTTTCCCTTTATGCGCTCTTTATTCCTTATTGAACACCCGCGCTCTACTATATCGATTTCTCTTTTACATGGAACCATCAGCACGGCGTTCCTACATTCAGGAGAAAGTTAAATTACTTCATGAACCTAAAAATTTCGGCTTCGTCCCTTCATCTACCACCAAAAAATCGAACCACCAAGGCGAGGACGAGATTTTATTTATAAATAGGGGAGACCTTGGTGAAATATTTTTTTTCAGAGTGATTTCGTTATGCAATAGTTGATAAATTGAAATACAATTCATGAACTGTTTTAAATCGTCGTAAAATGTTTAGTTTTATTGCCGTTTTTATCACTCGATTTATCACCCGAAATGTTACACCGATACATTATCAATTTAAAAATCCAAAAATAAGTCATTAGTGATGCTATTTTACTCGACACGTTACAGTTTCATAATAATTTTCGCTGACGTATTTTGTTGCCATAGGAACTCTACTGAGCGTTTCAAAATTTCGCTCGATTTTATTTAGACAAATGACTAAATTACGGTCACTTAAAATTGATCAATCATTTAAATGATCATTTATCTAACCTTGAATTTAGATAGATATTCTTGACTTTATCAATGTCCGGTCTAAATCTTATCAGTGAAATTTCACCCGTGATCTTGAAAAACAATCAAACTACTTTTTTTTAATTTGACCATTTTTCACAAGGTTGTTTGATCAAAACGAGGTTGCACTAAAAAATTATAACACTTTAAAATTCGCCATTTTGTTATTGTTATTTTTACTGATAAGGCGAAAATAACTCTCTGACCTTTTTTACGTAAATGTATCAAAAAATCGCGATCAGACCATTTCCGTAACTTTAATTTTTTTGCTACCATGCGTGTCATTGCTATTACAACTCACCTTCGAAAAATCTCCTTGCCCTCTAAATCCGTTTCTAGATAAAACCGATAGAATACAATAGTGTTCTTGATCAAGTTCATTCGATTACCATTTATTTTGTAGGTGTCGTTACTCAACAATCGAAAAGTGATTAATTAAACCGTAGGGAAAAATGTACAAGTGAAATCCGTTGAGTTTTGCAATTTTAAGAGAGGTGTGAAGGTGCGACTGTAAAAGTAATGCGATTCCACAACTCGACTTATTATTGTTCTCGTTAAAGGTAACTCTTTACCTAGATCGAGAGACTGACCCGAATTGAAGAGATTTCGTTCATGTAAACACGATTCGAAAATAGAAGGTTATTTTCGATTATAGGGCGCACACGTTAAAATAGCCCTTGTCCTTTTTCTGTGCTAATTTTTTACCATTGAAAATAGATATTTGAAATTGTAATGAGACGTTGCTGGTTGTTATTTCTCGGCGTTTGGGGTCATCGCATTTTTTTTAAGTAAAAAGTTTTGGTTGAAACGTTATCTGTATAGATTTTACTGCTGGGTTTCACCGTTCAAGGGCGATGCTTTCTACTCTTTCAAAACGTGAACGTAACGTTTGAATTTCACCGAAATTTCTTTCACCAAACAATACTATCAAATTCGGATACAGAGCGATATTTCCGGAGATGCTATCGACCTGTATCCATTTTTATTCAATTTTCGAAGCAACTTTTAAAATTTATATAAAAGAAACAGATTGTAACATATCACGAGCTTCCGCCTCTAGGTCAAACGACATAATCTAATTAGTAATTAATTAGCAATATACACAATTACGTAATGACAATTTAAAAAATGATGAGCGTCATAAAAGCAAACAGCTTACAATATGGGTCAGAGAAAAATAACGTAGCAGTCAGTGTTGTGAAATTGTTCGCTTAAAATTTACTTTGATAATTTCACTAAAAGACTTTCACTCATTGCGTGTAACTTTTTAAATGCACTTTTCTGTATTTCAACAAAATTCGATATTTGGAACGAACGTGTTCCAGCATGACATGTTTTTATTATA